TAGGGTAAGAGCAGCAGTTGAAGTGTGGAAAGGAAGAGGGAAAACCATAATTCACAGTGGATGTGATCGACTATATAAATGAATCAATAAATTGACTAGCCCGGGATTAGAAAATGAGAAAGTTTGACATGGAGGGGAGAGTACGAGAAACATAAACACATAAAAAAGCTATTCCTTTGCTTTATGCAACTAACAACGGTTAGAAGATAAAATGCAAAAAATCCCGCATGTGATCAGTAGCAACAAAAAATGAGCACGTCAAGCCTGTAGAGTTCTATAAAATTATAAAACCTCACTGGACATAAAAGTGGACCAAATAAGCTGAAACATGGCATCCCATGAAAAGATGGATGCATAAGAACTTTGAAACTTGCAAAGTCTACGGTGGAGGAAACATTGGTAGCGTGTGGCACCTGGACCTGGATGATCTGTGGAGGCCAATTGAAATTGGCGGCTGTGACCCCCCCCACCTCGGGGTCTGTGACTCGCAGAACTCAGAAAGGTGTCCTCCTATGCAAGGTTACAGCTTCTCCCAGTGAAAAGGTCACGAAAGGAAGAGGTGCACCGAGCACAGAGTGGGTGAGACCGGCGGTGGGCAGGCTCCCCACTGCCCAGAGCGGTCACGGGATGGCGCTGGACTGAAAGTCGCAGCAGCAGCACATGAACACATACAAAGTGTTTCCAGCCAGGGAAACTCGCTGAGCCTTGGTGTCCCGGGTCACACAGGCAGGTAGCACTGGCACAGCTCACTTGAGGTGTGAGAGTCCCAGGGCTGCCGAAACAAGGTGGCCTGGACAACAGGGACGGTCCCTGTCACAATCTGGAGGCTGGAAGCCGAGGTCAAGGTAGCAGGAGGTTTGGTTTCTTCTGAGCTGGTGATGGAGAATCTGTTTCATGGTTCTCTCCTGGCTTCTGGGGCTTGATGGATGTCTAGCATTTCTTGGCTTATGGAAGTGTCACCAGATCTCTGCCATCACGTCCACATGGCATTCTCCCTGTGTGCGTGCCTTTGTCCAAATTTCCCCTTTTTAAGAAGACACCAGTCATTGGATTCAGGGCCGTCACTAATGACTTCATCTTAATTTGATCATCTCTGAAGACCCTATTTCCAAATAAATCACACTCACAAGTACTGGGGGTTAAAACTTCATCTTTTTGGGGGACCCAGCTCAGCCCAAAACACTGAGTTTCCAGCCCCTCAAGAGGTCAAGGTGATACCACGTGGCCCAAAGTCACCATGAACTTTCTGGGTGACCCAAGTCCCCAGGTAGGTCAAGGTCAAGCTGCTGTCAAGCAACAGTCCAAGAGCTTAGAGGTTTCTTCCCAGGAGGTGGCCAAGGGCAACAGTACTTTCTCTGAGATGTGCAGTGTTTGGACAGCTCTTCTCAGTTCACTGTTTGCTGCATGACAACATGAGCTGAAGTGGAGACCCAGAAGGAGGGGCCTGTGTGGGGAAGAAAAGGAAGAAAGTGCCCTCTGGGCAGCTAGAGACATAAGGAAGCAAGGGGTCGACCCCTTGCTTTATGAGTCAGCACACCCACGAATCAAGTCGAAAGTGTGGAGTTCCCACCTGGATCTCGCCCTTGGCCATGAGCTCCGTGACAGGTGTAATGTGGAGAAGTGAAGGTTGCTTGAAGGCCACCTGTGCCTGAGGCAGAGGAAGGGTCCCGGCAGAGACATTCTCTGCCACTGCCTGGTGCATGCAGCCTTGGGTGTTTGACCTGTTGGGCAGCTGGAGGTGGGGCACACAAGGGCGAGGGGGACCCCAAAGGAGTCGGCAAAGCCAAGTGCGAGGGACCTAGAGCATGTCTTTGAACGAGAGGGTGGCAGGGATGAGTGATTCTGCACAGACGTGGTGGGAGCATAGTCACGGCCCTGCCTTCTGAGGGCCCTGGTTGGTGACCTCTGTCTTGCAGACTGTGGTCTACAGCCCGGCTGGAAGACAGCCGGCCGGATCGTGGGTGGCGTGGAAGCGTCCCCGGGAGAGTTCCCGTGGCAAGTCAGCCTTCGAGAAAACAAGGAACACTTCTGTGGGGCTGCTGTCATCGGGGCCAGGTGGCTGGTGTCCGCGGCCCACTGCTTCAGCGGGTGAGCCCTGCACCCTTGGTCCTGCGTTCTGCCCCACTCCCGGAGCACCGCCTTTCCTGGGGTCCTTAGAGCCCCGTGGAGCTCTCTTGTCCCTCCCCTCCCTTCTTTTTCTTTTGTGTTGTTGAATCTGAATGTGTTCTTATTTTTTAAGTTGTGGTAAAATATACACTACATAAATTTACCACCTTAACCATCACAATTCAGTAGCATTGCTGTTCACACTGCTGTGCAGCTGCCCCCACCACTCATCTCCAGAACTTTCCATGTCCCCAAGCTGACATTCTGTCCCCATGAAGCACTGACTCCCTGTCCCTGCCCCTCCCCTGGCTCCCACCATCTGCTCTCTGTCTCTGTGGACGGGACTCCTCTGGGGACCCCCTGTGAGTGGGGTCATGCAGGACGTGTCCTTCTGTGTCTGGCTTCTGTCACTGTGCATGGTATCCTCTGGGTCCGTCCACGTGGTGGCGGGTGGCAGGACGTCCTTCCTTCCTGAGGCTGGATGATACCCTAACGTGTGGATGGACCACATTGTGTTTGTCCTTCATCCATGGAGGGACACTCGAGTGCTTTCATCAGCTCTTGGTGGTTGTGAACTGGGACCTGTTTCCAGTGCCTCTGAGTATAGACACGTGAGTGGGATTGCTGGGTCACCTGGTAATTCTGTGTTTAAACTTTTTGAGGAACCACCATATGGTTATCCCCGGGGGCCGCACCATTTTCCATCCCCGCCAGCCACGCAGAAGGCTCCGGTGTGTCCACGTGCTCCCCAGCACTTGTCGTCATCTGCTGTTTTGATCTGAGCCACCGCGGCGGCTGTCCCGTGCTGCCTGACTGTGCTTGTGGCCCACTTGTATGTCTTCTTTAGAGAAATGTGTTTGGACTCTTTGCCTGTTGTTGAACCAGGTCGTTGCTTGTTGTTGAGGATGGTCAGAATCTTTAACAAACCAGAGTGGCCAGGCAGAACGGAGCTGGTCAAAAGTGGGAGAAGGTTCTAGAAGCCTCTGTGCCAGGCATTGCTGTTTGGTTGCTGCAGTCTTTGGAGACCTGAGGGAGAGGGCAGGGCAGTCTGGACAGATGGTTCAGTACTTTACAGCCCTTGGCTTGCCGCCGGGCCCCGCGTGCAGCCTGCTGTCTGCCTCAGCTGCCAGCCAGCCTGGGGACGGATGCCAGAACCAGTCACAGCTCAGGACAGTAGGTGGCAATTTTTCCATTCAGTTTTGTTCTCCCATATTTTATTACAGCAGTAGTTATGCAGATAGAAAAGACAAAAAAACGGCACGGCAGACATTTGTGCACTCTTACCTGATTTTAGCACGCGTTGGCATTTTCCCGTATTAGCCATCGCTCCTGCCGTGTCTTTACCTACACACACGCGGCTCTGCGTCTTTTCGTGCCAAACCATTTGATATTCTCCCCTCTGACCGTGATGCATCCCCCCTGACTCTGCTGCACATGTCTATACAAACAAGGAACACTGTCGCCCGCGCCCACAGTATCGTGACCCACCGCCACACGCTGGCATCCGGCGCCCTGTCCACATCCGATCTCCCCGCTTGTCCCAAGGGTCCATTAGAGCTGCCTTTGTGTTTTCTTTCTTATTCTGGTAACATGGTAAAACTTCCTTCTGGTAAAACTTATTTAAGGCAGTAAGAGTTTTGATCTTGAACTTAGCAGAATGATTCTGCAGAGGTACGGAGAGAGGGTGGGGGAGGGGAGGGAGGGCTTTGGGAGACAGAACCCGGCCTTGTCCCCTGCTTCTGCTGGGAAGCGTAGTGTTCCGTCCGTTGACCCTGTACGGGGCCCAGGAGGAACATCCACTACAAGGCCAGGAGTAGGGTGAGGAGAACGAGGCACTTTTGGAGGGTGGGGGCAAAGTGTCACGTGCTGCCCAGAACAGTCATTATGACAAGTGATATTTTCATGTCATGTTGCAAAAAAATAAAAACGCAAAAAACAAAATCCACGATGAACAGAATGTCCAGTTGGGAAATTCAGACCAGATCTGACGGGCCGGGGCTCTGGGAAGGCTGGGCGGTGAGTGGGGCTGGGGCAGCCGGATCCTGTGTTTATGTAAAACGTCCGCACTTTGTCGTGGGTTCGGCATTCATTTGGACGTTCTGCGGTATGGCGCGAAGACACGGTTTATCCCAAGGCCTGTGGGCTTTGGCCCCCACCCCAGCATTCTGCACCCAGATCTGTCTTTGTTTCAAATGTTGAAAATTGGCGTGGAATGGGTTCGTGTGCATCCATTTCCATTTTCGACAAAGTCGCGTGATGACTGAGTTTCGGGGCGCACCGCTCCCAGGGCGGGTGCCTCCCTCGCCGCCCCTGCTGCCCGTCTGTGCTGGGTGGGCCCTGGAGCTGTGGCTTCTGTGCCCCGCAGATTCCAAGACCCGGCGGAGTGGGTGGCCTACGCAGGCACGACCCACCTCAGTGGCGCAGAGGCCAGCACGGTGCGGGTGCGCGTGGCCCGCATCACCCCGCACCCCCTGTACAACCCGGACACGGCCGACTTCGACGTGGCGGTGCTGGAGCTGGACGGCCCGCTGGCCTTCGGCAGGCACGTCCAGCCCGTGTGCCTGCCTGCCGCCACGCACGTCTTCCCGCCGCGGAGGAAGTGCCTCATCTCCGGCTGGGGCTACCTCAAGGAGGACTTCCGTAAGTCGCTCCGCCCCTGCCTCCTCCCACGGCCGGGGGTCCTGGCGCTCCGCGCCTGCGGTGCCTGCCGCCCCAGAGGGTACTCTGGGCAGTTCTGTGCCATTTGCGAATGTGCCCTGCTGTTTCAGCTCAGGCCAGAAACCGGCGTCCTTTCCGTGGCGTATTCACTGCCACGTTTTGTGCGTTTTTGTGCTCTTTGTGGGTGATTGTTAAAATGGCCCCTGGTGCAGAGTGGCGGCTGGCGTCTCTAGGTGCAGACAGGCCGGGGTGTCTAGTAAGCTGCTTTCCGCGGTGGGTTCCAGAGCGTAAACTCAGCGAAGTGCGCGTGCTCAGAGGCACACACACCGTAAGTTACGTGCTGATCCCTTACGAACCTTGAGAGCAGAGGCTCCTAGGAACCTGCCCTCTGCCCCCCACAAGCCACGCTGCAGAAGCGATAAGTCAGGGTTTGTGGCGACTTTACAGAACAGGACTGTCTCGGAGGAGGGGTGAGACTCCACTGTAATCTGACAGAAGGTGCTGGAAGGAAGCCCACAGGATGTTTCAGGGAAAAGGATTTGGGGTGGGGATGGCTTCAGGGAAGGACCGTGAAAGTGACGCCTCAGCTCTGACCCAGTGGATGAGATAAAGTATTCGGACAGGGGCTTGTCCTGCAGCGAGAAGTCCCATCATTGCGGGAAGTCCTATTGGATGACGCTAGTCTAGAACATTCTAGAGCAAACTGCCCAGGCTGGCTCAGTGGCTGTGCATGGAAGTGGGGGGTGCCCTAGGGCCCCCCAAGCTGAGGGGCAGCTTTGCCCTGTCGAAAGGGTCTGGGCGTCCACCGCAGCAGGCTTCAGGTGCAGGGCCCATGGCCTGTGATTTGGGGTTTTCTCAGGTCTGTGCCTGCCTGATACGAAAGAAAAGAAAAATGTGTGATTTTTACACCTTCTGAAAAGGAAAGGTATTTTCCATACGGACCTAATTAGGAGGGAATATAAAGATAATTAAGCCCAGGCCACAAACGTTTCGTTTCAGCCTCCCTCGTTCACTGACCACAGGTCCGAGGGCAGGGCAGGGAGCAGAGCAGTGAGCCTCGCCACGTGGGGCTCCCAGGCCAGACCGGCAGTATCCAAGAGCGCTTCCCTTGGGGGGTGGGGGCTGTGCTTTATGTTTGTGTCACCCGCTGTAGGAGCCAGCAGCCCCCTGCAAGCTGGCCATGGCCGTGTGCCTGGGAAACCGAGTTTTTACGTTTTATTGCATCTTACGCATTTAAATCTACATTTAAATAGCCACATATAGCCAGTGGCTGCCAGACTGGACAGCACAGCCCTGGAAGGAAGTAGGTGGCGAAGACGACAGGTGGCGATGAGTGCATTGGAGACTAAGGTTGGGTGGAGATGGGGGCTGCAAGCTTTAATAGGGTGGTCGGGAGGGGCTTCTTGAGAATGGGGGTGAGGGGGGAAGGCAGGCAGATTGTGTAGGGACAGACAGCGCTCTAGGCAGCTGGGACAGCATGCACAAAGGCTCTGGGGTCGGTGGTCCAGACTTGGACTTTTAATTTGAGCCGGGATGGGGGGAGGGCATCACCCTGCAGGATCTGGGGAGAGGGCAACATAGTCTGTAGCAAAGAAGGCACTGGCTGCAGCCCGAGAAAAGATTTCCGCAGAGTAGGACAAGAATGATAGCAGAGGCAGGTACGGGGAGGCTCAGGGCAGAGCAGGTTTTAGGAGTGAGGTGAGGAAGGAGCCCAGTCTTGGGTGTTCACTTTGATGCCTCTTCGCCGCCTGGGCCACGGAGGTTGCTGGCGGGCATTTGTGGAGTGTGTGCTCTGCCGGTTTCCGAGCTGGCTGCTGCCGCGGATCCCCTTCCCGCTGGGGAAGCCGAGGGCCAGAGCAGAGACGGCCTGCAGCCTCCGGCCTCGGGGTGGCTGCCCGGGGCCCCGAAGCGCTCATCCTGCTGCTGTCTCTCTGTCCTGGGCAGTGGTCAAGCCAGAAACGCTGCAGAAAGCCACAGTGGAGCTGCTGGACCAGGGCCTGTGTGCCAGCCTGTACGGCCACTCGCTCACCGACAGGATGCTGTGTGCCGGCTACCTGGACGGGAAGGTGGATTCCTGCCAGGTGAGCCCCGCAGCCCCCGGGGCCTGGGGACGAGTCCCGAGGGCCCAGGCCCCGCCCCACCTGCCCGAGGCCCCCAGGTTTCCGCCCTGGAAGAGGGGGTGCTCAGTTTCCAGTCTGCCACCAAGACTTCCCTGCTTGACCTCTGGCACGGCTCCGGATCTCCTTTTTCCTTTATGCCTTTGGTCTCATTTCTCAAGCCCACTGGCTGGGGGGGGGGGGGGGGGGGGGACTGCTGCCTGCACTCGGTGCCACAGCAAAACCGGGGCCTGTGGAAAAGGTGGGGAAATGGTGGCAGAGGGCGTGTGCTTGGGAACGTGAGAGTCCAGGCGAGCTGGGAGTGGGAAGGGAAAGGGTGAGCAGACAGGATGTGTGAGGGCGGATCAGGCCCTTCACTGCCAGTGAGACACGGGGGCAGCCACACTGGCCGCCTTAGCAAGTGGCAACATCATCAGAGATCCCGCGGACGAGGAGAGGAGGGGATGTTTATTTGGGCTGGGTTTTGAACTGCCAGAGGCTGAACCGAGCGAGGTCTTGGAGACCCCACGGCCCGGCTGTCCAGCTGTCCTGCTGTGTGTTTACAAAGAGCAGACGGAGGCTTGCCAGCCACCTTGGCTCCAGGAGCCCGTGGGGAGGGGGGACTCCTCTGACTCTGCGGCTCTGGGATCTGGACTGGCTGCGGCCAGGGCCCCCGACCCTCCCAAAGGCGTGCCTCTGTCTCCCAGGGCGACTCGGGAGGCCCCCTAGTCTGCGAGGAGCCCTCTGGCAGGTTCTTCCTGGCCGGCATCGTGAGCTGGGGAATAGGTTGTGCGGAAGCCCGACGCCCCGGCGTCTATGCCCGAGTGACCAGGCTGCGTGACTGGATCCTGGAGGCCATCGCCACGGCAGGCCGGCCTCTGGCCCCCACGGCGGCTCCCGCCTCCACCACCGCCAGCACTGCCCGGCCCACCAGTCCTGAGAGCCCCGCCAGGCCCACTCTGGGCCTCAGCGCCGCGCCTCCCGACTCAGTCACCGCCTCTAAGCCACAAGGTAGTTTCTAGGGGTGCAGGCGCAGGTAGGGTAGGCGTGCGCCCCTGCGGGACTGGGCGGATGGGTGCTGGCTCCCGGCAGCTCTCTGCGGGAAGGGGATGCATGCCGTCTGGGCCCTTCTCTCTTGTTCCCCACAGAGTGCGGGGCCAGGCCCGCCATGGAGAAGCCCACTCGGATCGTGGGCGGGCTGGGAGCCGTGTCCGGGGAAGTGCCCTGGCAGGTCAGCCTGAAGGAAGGTTCCCGGCACTTCTGTGGCGCCACCGTGGTGGGGGACCGCTGGCTGCTGTCGGCCGCCCACTGCTTCAACCAGTAAGACCCACCCCGGCCCCTGGGTCTGCGCAGCCACCCCTGTCCCCCTCTGTCACCCGGTGCCCTGCCCCCTCCTCTCGTGAGCACGAATCCTGCCGCACAGAGGCAGCCCTTCCCCTCGGCTCAAGAACTGGTTCTGTCCAGCTGCAAACCGAGAGGGAACAGGCGGGAGAAGTGAGGGTTCTGCAGAGGGCGGCGGGGGGGGGGTGCTCAAGGGCCCCACCTGGGCTGCAGCTCCTGGGGGGAGGATTCTGCTGGGCTGGTCTCTGGGGGACAAGTGGGGGCATCTTCGCCTCCGCCCCATGGTTAGTCTGTCAGTCACAGGGCACCAGGGGCCCCTTGTGTTCTGGCCGGAGGAGATGAGCCCGCAGGGGCTCCCTGCCTTGTCCACAGGCCCCCGGCCTGGGACCACTTTTGGGCAACAGCCATGTGGCCCCTCCGTCCTCCCGGCGCCCCTCCCCAGAGCCCGGGCCCCACAGCCGTGCCTGGCGTCCTGGGGGGCAGCGGGGTGTCTGAGCGGCCCCTTGTCGGCAGCACGAAGGTGGAGCTGGTGCGGGCCCACCTGGGCACCGCGTCCCTCACGGGCGTCGGCGGAAACCCAGTGAAGATGGGGCTCAAGCGCGCAGTGCTGCACCCCCAGTACAACCCCGGCATCCTGGACTTCGATGTGGCCGTGCTGGAGCTGGCCGGGCCCCTGGGTTTCAACAAGTACATCCAGCCTGTCTGCCTGCCCCTGGCTATCCAGAAGTTCCCCGTGGGCCGGAAGTGCATGATCTCCGGCTGGGGTAACACACAGGAGGGAAACGGTGAGCTCCCCACCAGGCTCTCCGGTCCCACACCTGCAAACCCCTCTCCCCTCCGCTCCCCCCAGGGTCGCAGGCTCTGGCGCACGGGCAGTGTGGCTGCTTCATAAAGGTTTATCGGCACCCAGCCCATCCGCTGGTTTACAGACGGTCTCTGGGGGCTTTCCTGCTACAGGGGCAGAGCTCAGTCGTTCCAACAGAGACTGTCTGGCCCGTAAAGCCATGATTATGTGCTCTGTGGCCCTTGGTAGAAAAGCTCGAGACCCTTGTGCTGTACCCTTCAGGGACCCCCAAGAGTTAGTGCTGCTTTTGTCCTCCCTGCAGGTCACCCAAGGCGCTAGGGAATCTGCCTGGGAATGTTGGTGAGAGCCTAGGGTGCTGAGTAGGAGCACGGGGTCCGCCCCCTTATCACTACACGACCGCATGGATCCCTGCGGCCCCGAGGGGCTGTGGTTCTTTATCCATAGGGCAGGGACTCCCCTCCCCGGGTGGGTGCTGCCACAGCGTAGCCGACGTGGAAGAGGGATCGCTCTGTGAGTGAGCTTGTGTGGGGCCTCCTCTCCTTGGCAGCCACCAAGCCTGACATTCTGCAGAGAGCGTCTGTGGGCATCATAGACCAGAAGGCGTGCAGCGCACTCTACAACTCCTCCCTCACGGACAGGATGCTCTGCGCCGGCTTCCTGGAGGGCAAAGTGGACTCCTGCCAGGTGAGCATCCAGGGGGCCGCCTGACGTGTTCGCAGACGGAAGGGAAACAGTTTCCAGTGCGTCACAGCGAGCAGGGGAACCCTCAAGAGAACCCGAATGCCTGTAAATGTGTGGTTTAGAGAAATTGTCATATTTCCAAGCAGAAGATGAGGTGGGTGTGCATAAAAATACAGACACTAACTTGAAAATGTGCAGCATGTATTCACAGGAGAAAAAGCTAATCACAAGTTATGGCACATGTGACTGCTCTGTGTCGCAGGGTAGCCAGTGAGCACCTGAGGTGTGTGTGATCCAGCTTAGGGGAAACCTGGCTCCAGAACCATGCCGTGAAGGCCAAAGAAATACACAAGTGGGGAAATGTATAGTCTTGGAAACACTGATGTGGGGCGCCTGGGTGGCTCAGTTGGTTAAGCATCTGATT